AAAGAACTCATCGGCTGCGCTTACAGCTGCTCAGGCAAACACTCTTGTCAATTCAATCTTTGCTCCAACTGGATACAATCTTGCCGGTAGATTAAATGAGTACTCATCAGGAGCTGTCAAGATGACCGGTCTTGCCGGCACCAGCGATCCTTATGCGACAGTCAGGTACATTGAGCAGGGTGTGGACTCCTGCGATCGCAACACCATTGTTAATGCCGTCTACGCTGCCATTGCCCCCGCAAATCCCGCAAGACTGGTCGTTGTTCAAAACAATCGCAACCCTACTTGCTCTGGAATGGCGGACAGCAGCGGTACTGTTGTCATGGTCTGGGATCTCGACGCTCTCAATCCTCATGTTTTATTCCACGAACTTGGTCACGGCTTTTCGTTCCCCCATCCCGCTACGTCTCTTTGCTACTCCAACGGTGCAAAGGTCATGATGAGCAGCAATTGTACGTCTGTCAACGGTGATAATTTCCAGAACATTGGTGTTATTCCCCACGACTCGCCATGGTTCAAGCCCGATGGCATCACTAACATTGATACCAATATTGGAGGTATTATGGAGTACAGCTCTTACTACCGTTATTCGTCTACATGGCCCTTCCTTAAGGAATCAAACCTAATTGATGTCAGCGGAAATGGTACTTACAAGCTCTACAGTAGCGAGACTGCCTCAATCGGAACGAATCCGACTACTCTTCGCATCCCTCTTAACCCGCCCATCAAGATCTCTAACGACATAATTTCAACCAATGTCACGTACCACACGCACTACTGCGTAGACTTTACTCAACGCCGCCCCAACACCGCTGCTGGTGGGCTGTATAACTATGTCGTTATTCGCAGCTGTGCCGATCACAGAGCAAAGCGCTCACATGTTACCCGCTTTATGTCAGCACTCTCTACGGATGATAGCTCATTTGGAACCAGTTTCTATGACGGCTACCGCAAGATTAGAATTACGCTTACTTCAATTTCGTCGTCTGGCGCTACCATGACTGTCACTTTCCCTAAGGATTATACTCTTCCGGCCAACGTTAACCAGTGCTACTACTCTTCAACCATCAACACTAAGCAAGCCATCACCGTCAACAACAACAATGTTTGCAGAGCCCTTTCGCGTAACAACCTCCCCTCTACCGGTACGTTTAACGGCACTCACTGCCTGATTCCTTACAGCAACGTTGGCCACATTGTGCCTATGCCAAACATTGAGTTCCTTCACTGCCTTAATACGCCAAAGTGGATTACTACCGCTCAGTCAACCATGGATAGCGCCTTTGACATCTGGGACGAGAGTGACATGTTTGTCTGCCAGACCACTATTAGTGGTATTCTCTACCAGGGCCGCGGTCACTTTGGTGAGTGCTGCGTCTACTATAACGGAGGCGAAAAATGCATTTGGAACGACCCTACAACTACTTATCTCTCATGGATTTCCTAGATTTAGAAATAATTAACATGCGCATTTATAGTTTTTTATTTTTTAATTATATTTTATGTGCAACTACAACTACTACAAATAATATAAATTGACTATTGTAACAATAACTAAAACTCGGACTCCTCGGGTGCATAATCTTTAATCGGAACCGAAAACTGATTGAACAATAATGTTTGCTTAAAATTACTGATATTACTAGAGAACCAGATGCCATGGGGAGTGCGTCGCAAATCAGTGGTAGTAGATGAGAATGACTCTGTGGGCAGATATACAGATGGCTGCCAATCTGATTCACTAATTGCAATTTCTATGGTCTTTATTACCGCGCTATCTCTGTCCTCCAATGCATTTTTAAGTATACTTTTAGAGGCGGATGTAATCTCAGTGGAATCTATGATACTATTTACTAGCATTTCAGCACATATTTTGGAGTTGAATGCCGTCTTGTAAATAATTTTGTTTAAGACGGATATGCTAATATCAGTAATTCCTAGACTGTAAAGACACCCATGCAGAGAAATAACATTAGATGCATACATTTCCACTTCTTGGTCTGTCGGCTGGTAACTATGTGAAGACCAGATCTGACAATCTATACGAGTGTAGTCAACCGCGGTTTTGTGTGCAACGTATTTATCCCAAAACTCTATGATATCTGACTTGGAAAGTGTAGAAATTTCCCGTGCTACGTTTTTGTTTTCATAAAAGTCGTAGGTACCATTATCAATTTTATCCCAAAGCATTTTAGTCTCAACAGAACACATATTTGAAGTTTCTAAAAGCTGCTCGATCTGATCATCAGCATAACTTTCTAGCTCCTCTTCCGTTATTTCGGTCAGTAAATCTTTTACTTTATCCATCATAATGTTTAAGCACTTTGTCAAATACGCCGGATTACCAACACCTTGAATTGTTAGTGCGAGTATACATTTTTTGTGGATAAATGGCAAACATGACGCGCGAATAAAGTACTCTTTCTTTTCCCTGGAGTACTGATTGGAGTTGTTGATTATACGAGATATCATATGGCATAATGCTTTATCGCGAATCTGTGATTGCTGTCCACAGTAGATGTGGCTTGATAAGCCGCTCACAGATGTTTTGCCGTTTCCAGCTGGCACCTTAAATACAAGGTAACCTGGCTCAAAACAACACGTAGATACCTTTGGTTTCTCCAAAGGGTGAAGTGGTATCGAATTGAGTTTGGCTTCAATAATATGCGCTCCTGCATGTGCATATATCTCATCAACATATCCAGAGATAATCATTCTAGTATATGTACTAGCAAAAATAGATTGACTAAAACTATGCAACATAGTCACATCAACCGATTTAAGAGCGTCAACAATATCACTGGGTATCTCAATATGACCATAAACAATATATGCCTGGTAAAACTCTGCTATTTGATGCGGCTGCTTATCAAGCTTGTCATTATACTCACTAATAAGACTGGACCGATAAGTCTCAAAATAAACATCTTCAATTACAAGGTTAGTCAGTAAGTGAACTATTTTGTTCAATATGCCAACCAGCTTTTCGCTAAACCAGTCAATAAAAATTACAATTGATGAATTGCCTCTACTTAATTTAAATTTGCACCCACGTGCTGGCGTTTGATACAGTTCATCACCTATCGTTGCATTAGCATATTGGCAAAATAGCTCGGTTAGCACTATGGTTTGTGGGGCGTTTGATGATTTTGGGAACTGGATTTCAGCAATAATAGTTCCACGGCTACGAAGAAAAGATTCATTTCTGTTAAACCAAACCTCAACATTGTCATTCTTTACAAGTAGTCTAGACCCTGATGCATTTTTTAACATTACTTTGGTCTCGCTACTACCCTTCTTTTTATACTTTGATTTTACCGGGTGTTTTTTATCAAATCTGTCGGGCAGGCAGAATTTCTGAAGAACGTCGTTTGCAACAGACACATGTGTTGATAGAGATGAAGGCAAATCTACAAGACTAAGCTTTGTTTTACTGATTTCCGAATTCCGTGAATATATGATAGCACTGTAGTTTGTCGAGTTAATGTGAGTAAAATACTCTAAAGATTCCTCAGGACTAAAATCACGTACAAGTTTGTCTCTCGATAAAACGTGTTCAGGCAAAAGATTGGGATTATGCAAATCATTTGCCAACTCAACACACCAGCTAACACTGTCATCGCTATGGATATAATTGTATTCAATCGTAAAGGCATCGTGGCATTTGTTGAAAACCCACTTTTTAGGTGTTTTTACACTAATCTTGTCTAGATACCCCATTGTAATCTCTATAACCTGCTCATAGTTGTCAATTCCTTCCAGGGTAGCATTTATCACAATTTTAAAGAGACTAAAACCATTGTGCTCGTCATAATGCTTGACGACTTCAAAATTGGTTGCCCACCCATTGGTTTGAAGATAATGCAACAATGACCCACGCTTCTTTTCTTTCAAAATACAGCTGGCATAATAGCTCGGACTAGAAACATACTTGTCATTAGTGCCTGGTGTAGCAAAGACCAGATCTATTCTATTATTGCAGTCCACAGATTCAATAGTTGCCAACTTTCCAATGCATAACTTGGCAAAAAGATGTGATTCAAACACGGGTAATGTAATTTTCTTGTTTGGAATGCCAGAAAACTTTTCAACAACCCAGCTAATCAGTTTCTCAAGACTATAGTTAGCTGTAATTACCAGCTTCATAACATTTGCCAAATAATAGTTGCTGAAAAAGCCACTAAGGGATAAAACATCATAGCTGGCAGATTTGCCAAATTTGTTAAATGCTTGCAAATACTTGCGAGTACCAAGCATTTCACAATTCGTACAATCAAGCTCAACATTTTTAAACTGCGGGTGAATAAACAGCTGCACAAACTGCTCTAAAGTTTCTTCCATACCACCGTTCTCAACAGTAAAAGTATAGTTTGTATAGCTTCCACCACCACTAACACACCGCGTGCCATTGTACTTACTAATACATTGGCTGAACTTTTTATGGTCAAGATAAACTAAATGCTCAAGACAATGTGCCAAACCTGGCATTTCCGTAGGGTCAGAATAACTTCCAACATTTACGCCAAGTGCCGCAGTAGCCTTCTCGGCTTTAGCATCCTCAGTACACACTACAATCAGATCATTTGAAAGTCGCAGCAGAGCATGAGTACGGTAGTCATTAGGTGACTGTTCAAGCAAACCAGTGTACTGGAAGTATGACAACTGAGAACTGACAGTTGTGCACTGCTTAAACTTGGATGATGACAGAATTGAGTTCATAGTAGTAAAAAAAGAAATTTGAGAGATAAGAAAAAGAGAGCTGTCTTGTTTCCAGCTAATACAAAGTGTTTAAGCTTCATAAAACAAAGGCTAGAGTTTTCTTTGAAAATATGCAATCAATTTTTTTTATAAAAAAAAAAGCATTAGCGGCATAGCAATCAAAACTTGGATTTTATACAAAAAGTGAAAGTAAAAAGGCATACCCACAAAGCTACATCTATAGTCAATGCTACAGCCGCTATTATAATGTTTATATCGTAAAAAGACCAAAAAGTTATGCCTGGAGACTCCGGGAATTGAACCCGGGGCCTCACGCATGCGAAGCGCGCGCTCTACCCCTGAGCTAAGTCCCCCTAAGCATAGTTTACCTGTATAAAAGCTGTTAAAGTTAATATTTTACGGTTTGTTAAGAGTTAATGTAAAAAAATCCAAAATTTTATTTTTTTGGCAGTATACAATTTTTTATGATTATTGTATGACTTTTTAACCTCTCTTCTTGTATTATTTCGTTTAAAACTTTTTAAAATTTAAGTTACACTGTCATGTTATACGTTTGTCAGCTAAACGGATGCTTATCATGCATTTGTTTATACTTTTTTTACAATATCATTTTTGTATCTGTATGTGGCATGAGTTAATTTTAATAACAATTCGAGACTTACGTTATTTTTAGTATTGTATTATCTTAAACATTATCAATTATGCTTGATGCTATCTAAAAACTGACATGATTTATAATTATAATGGTTATGCTGTATGTATTTTAGACACAACGTTCTCTCAGCGGTTATAAATGTTGCAAGCTTGGTTTTTTGAATTTATGTTTTTATTTGTTATTATTATACTATACACAAGTACTTTGCTTACCAGAAAAACGCCAAAATTATATAAACTAAACTGTAAATACAGTTTTTTACTTAAAATAATGCTTAACAACACGGCAGTAGTTATATATTGCGAGGATTGCAATAGACTATTTTATAGTGACAGTGCCTATTTGGTGCACTATGTTGACTGTCAGCTTACCAAAAGATTAGAGGAAGTTAATAGTAGTAAATAAATGATTTGCAATGTTATAATTTACTATAAATGCAGTTAAGCGTGCTTTTAAGCACAATGGATGTGTTGTGCTTGTTCTTGAACCTGTTGCGCTTTTTGTATTGTTAGACCAATATTAAAAAATTTTGCAACTCATGTAACGCAACCTTCGTTTTTCTGGGTTTGTCTGGTCAACTGCTTCAACCACTGACGTGCACTTTTATTCCGCACGTTTGCATTACACCAATCGATGTCCTTGTATGTGTTGATAATTTTAAAATCTTGTAATAAGTTATTGTACTTGTCTACAAAACGTTTACACTTACACGTGAAGAATTTTGATGTCATGCGCCGGTTTCACAAGGATGTGATTAAACACTTTGAGAACCTATGACGTATACAAACGCAATACATCGAGTGACCAAGACAAATGTATTATGCTTTTACATAAATGCTTCAGTATAAAAGGAGACGGCAAGCGTAATAGATGTTTGCAGCTTTTCTTTGAGAATAGGACATCTTAAAACCTCTTATAAGCCCCTATAAGTAACATTCACGTAATAATATTATTTTGTTTACAAGCTTACTTGCCAAACCAACGTGTATTCGTTACGAATCTGCAACTTTAGTTATTAATACTCGGCAATCACTTACGGTAAACCAGCTTATTAAGCAATGAATGCGCTGTGACATATCTACAAAACAGATATTTAATATTTAGATTTGTCGTTTTCTCGCCATAATGAGCGTATTGGTTTTTGTCGTATTCACATGAAAGTAAGTCAATACCGTCAGTTTAGACTTTTTCCTTGTTGAAAGTGTAAGTAGCAAATGAATTTTTGTTGGCTCTGTTAAAAAGTCTAGTTATCATTTTTCTTATCGGAGAAGATGGTAAGTTTAGTATAGTCTTCACTACCAGTGACCATCACTCGATCTCTATATGCCGCAGTTTTGGCAAAAGCAATAGAGAGAAAGCTCCACTCTGTCTGAGAAATTTTAATTTGGTGGACATTGTCGTACTTGACAAAGCGCGGATCCCAGATAATAATTGCTGCGTCATTTATGCAATCTTCGTGTCCACGCATCGGTGCAAAGAACAATACAGTTTCGGAATCCCATGCTGGATTGTTGTATCGCGACGGAATTATACTACTGGGATCCGCAACAGTTAAAACAAATCTGCCCTTATTTGAATGGTCGCGGTTGTCGTAAATCAGCAGCTTGCTTTCCCACCGACAGTTGCCCACCATAAACATGTTTGGGTTAAATGGGCAGCGAGTAAAGCTTCTAACATTGCTATACTCGCTAAAGTTGATGCTCCGCATGCGTGTTCCACTGTAATTGTTGTTAACGTTGACATCTCCAGATATACTTCCCGATACGACATACTTCCCAGCCTCAACATGACAAATGACGCTGACAATATTGTTGTAATCATTCTCCATTTTTTGCTTACTAACAAAAGCGACATTACTTTCAAAGATGTCGAAAATTCGACGATAAACATCTCCGCCTGTATACGCATGGGTAAAATAGACACACGAGTTTGTCACTGGTGTTTTTCGAAATTGTCGCTTTTGCCAATCAATAGTTTAGTATTGATACGTAAGTCAAGAATTCATGGTTGTAAAGACAACCTGGAGAATACTATGTATTTGGCAGATTCCTTTAGGTTATAAAGCATAGCTCACAACCGTAACCTTCTCTCTGCCAGGTCCGCATGTAACCAAAAAATAAACAAATGCCACCACAAAGGAAGTGACTGGATTAGATTGGTCAATGGTGAGTCTCTCCAATTCCCCGACGAGATTTTCATTTTCTTATTGTTGACATTTCCCCAAAGCTGCAAACACTTTCTTCCGTATGAAAATACAGTTTGAGCAACCATTAAATACTATAATGTAATCTGAGTTGATTATAACATCTTGATTTGAATTTGGGATTGCGGGTTTTAATGTAATGTGCGCAAGTCAGTACCATCTGGCATACTGCTGCCAGCAAACTAACTACAATTTTTTTAATATTTGTAGGCATATAATCGTATAGATGGACACACTACTTGTGGTTGAACATCTTTTCTGGAAAGCCAACTCAATGCTGCTGTTCGACCAGACTATTAATGCGCTCTCTGGCCTTTACAATGCTCAGCTCAAACTTTGACTCAAGGTGTGCATATTTGAGTCGGCACCTTTTTAACTCGCTGCACGACTCCACATCGCGAGCAACTTGGCTTGCGAGTCGCTGTATTTCCGCAGCGACAGTCGTATCAGCGAGCGCCACATTTTGGCTAGCGCTATCACTATCGTCGCTAGTAAGTGGTGAAACATATGTTGGGCCAAAAAGTTCAGGAGAGTCGATATTATCCGACATATTGTTGTAATTAGAAACAGATAGCAGCTAGTTGTTTTGAATATTCCAAAAAAGTACAAGGTAGGCGAATTTGTAAAAAAAAAAAAAACATTTCCGCTTGTCTCTTTTATAATAACTTTACAATGCAAAAATGCTACTTAAATACATGTTACTTTTTTGTAGGGGTTTTATGATGTTTTATTCTCAAAGAAAAACGGCAAACATTTGTTTCGTTTGCCGTTTTCTTTTATACTAAAACTTATTACGTTGGAACATCATCCGTTATGTCTTAAGCATTTGATGTATCGTGTTCATGTACGTCACAGGTTCTCAAGGTGTTTCATCACACCCTTGCGCACCTGGAACGTGACATACTTTTTATGTCCACTTAATAAAAAATAACTATTATGAAAGTAATGCAAAAGCAAGTTTAATTTTGTACAAATATTAGTAAAACAGTCGCTGAATTGTAACTCACACATTTAATTAAAACTTTTTGACAAAATAAATTGCACTTGAATCTCTAAAAATCTAAAAAAAAAACTTTAAAACCTCTATAAATCATTTTAACGCAGCAAGCATAAAGTATTTTTAGGTTGCAGTTACTAATTATTTTATAATTAAAAGATGATATTTTTGTTAACTATTACATTTTTATTGGTAAACGTAAGAGTTCAAATTTACTGGCCGTCAACTCGTAATTCCATCACAAGTTAAAAAAAATTTTACTTAAGGGTAGCAACTTGGTTTACATGTATCGATTTTGGTAATACGTTTTCTAGTTTTTGAGTATAGATAAGGTAATAATAACAATTTAATGAATTGTACTGAAATACATGGTAAAAATGTTTAAACAATAACATTTAGATCCACATCCCCTATATTTCAAATTTTAATCAATTCAAGCGTAAATAAAAACTGACCTAAAAATTTCAACAGTGTCTATTCTTTTTAAACTTGTTTAAACACGTTTTTATTGTATTATTCAGTTAAAAACGCTTTAAAAATAAAAAAAAGCCGATGTAAATGTAAAAAAATAGGTTTTTAAAAGCTGGTATTATCAATATATTCTCAATTTTAAGCAAAAACAAAGGGTAAATGTTTTCGTTGGGGACTTAGCTCAGGGGTAGAGCGCGCGCTT